AAACCCAAAGATTTCCTTCAAGTGCCCCCAACGCCACCCTGTTGTATGTGATTTGTTTGCTTTGGCCTGCAGAGCAGGGCACGGTGTCCCTGGGGACGTGACGGCTGCGCAGAGCCTGGGGACAGCAGCCTGCACCTCGCTCCTGGGTGGCACCCGTGTTTATTTACCTTTTCATCACCTGATTCCCGTGCCCTGCCATGCTGCAGGCGCCAGCCCGCGGGCTGCCAGCCCTGTTTTAGTTGGCAGGAGCTGCAGATTAACTTCTGGCTGAAATAGCCCGACGCCAGCCCCACGTCTCCCCGGGCTTGTTGCATGCCCTTAGAGCATCTTGTATCAGTGTTTTGCAGCCCAGCTTGGGCCACAGTCACTGGGACATGATGCCCCAGCGAGGAAAGAGGTCATGATGTGACAAACTCTGAGTGAGTTGCCTCAGTGGTCCCAGGAGCCTGCTGTGTTTTGTGTCCCTGCGGATGAGTGGAGCCGGGGCTGTCTGCACCTCTCTGCTCCATAATCCAGAGGAGATTGCCTCTTCTGCTGGTGGCAGTGGTCCTGTGACATCCAGACACCCATCACTCTGCTGTGGCATTTCTGCTTTCTTGGCTCTGCTCTCCAAAGCCGCAATGCAGAAGATTAGGAGCTGAGAAACTGCAGATGTGTGTCCACAAGCTGCAGGTCCCACAATGGGACTACTCACTTGGGACGCTGAAAACTTAAGGTGTGAGAGGGTGGCCCCTTTTTGGGATGCTCTGAGCAACCAGTTTCACTTCCTACCCTTGATGCTGTTACTGCGTTTATCTTCTGGCCTTAATGGGGAGCTTGGGCACAGAGCAGCATCTCCATGCTGAACTCTGAGCCCTCAACCAAAGAAAGGGTCTATTCAGGTGCTAGCCAGAAGTTTGCATTTCAGCCTGGCTGATGACCGTATTGTCCCAAGGGAGCTGCAGACTGGGGACTGTGCGGGTTCCCTGCCTGTGGTGGGTTTCCTGTCTGGGATGGACACATCAGTGCTGCAGCTCGGTGGCACCATCTCTGCTGCCCTCCTCAGTGCCGTGGGGCTGACTCGCATAAAACTTGGGTTTTGGTGTGTACTAAACCCTCTTATTTCTAGTGACACTTTGGAAGTGAGAGGGAGAGGCGTCAACCCCAAACATTCCTGTTTTCTGGTGAGTTCTGATTGATTCAGACCCAAAAATGTGGGTTTATTGTGACTTTCTGCCTTTTTTTCTCTGGGTATTTGGTGCAAAATGGGCACTAAGCTGCCATGTGAAAAGCAGTGGAAGGAGCCGCTGATGGCAAGGGGCGTGCCTGGTTCTCAGTATACTCAGAATTGTTTTTTTGGGAGGTGCCTGCAGCAGCATTGATGATGATTGAGGTGTGGTGACAGCAATGGCATAGTGTCAGTGTGCCACCGGTGGTATTTCATCTGGCTGCCCCGGTGCACGTGTTTCCTCCTGAGCTCACAGAAACCTGTTCTCATACTTGAATCTTTGCTCATGCAAAGTCCTTGCTCTGCAAACAGCATCTCTGTAGCTCTTCATGCAAACCCCATGGGGGAGAAGCACTACGAGGACCACAGAATTTTGGGTGGCTGTTGGGGTGGAAAGTCACCCCCGGGCACCCCAAGAGCCAAAGCCTGCGGGAGCCCCAACCACCTCCCTTGTGGCATCGTCTGCCTCCAGCCCTCTCACCTCGCATGTTCACACCCTCAGAGCGGAGCCTGGATGGAAATAGCAGTAGCACATCTCTTCTACTTTTAATTGTGGTGGCTTTCTGGGCTGGGGAGAGGAAGCTGGGGGTGGAGAGGAGCCGGCTGCAAAAGGGGGAAGAGCCACTTTCCTTCTGACACGCTCTGTAGGTGATCTTAACGTTGAAGCTGCTCCAAGATTACACTTACACTTCTCTGCTGTAAGAGTAATTGTAGGTGTTACACACTGGTCTGTTTCTCACGATGGCAGGGCATCAGAGTATCCTTATCTAGGAGGTACCTGGTTTTAAAACAACTTGTAGTAAGCATGTCTGAGCACTGGGGAGCTGGTGCAGTTTGCAGCATAAACATGTTCAGGCTTCTTGTTTTCACCGGTTTGTTCAGTGAAGGTGGGTTTGGGTTTGGTTGTTGGTTGAGGTTTTTTATTTCTCTGAATGAAAATAGATGATAGAAAACGGCTGAGCAGGTTTCACTTCCTGCCCTTGATCAGTGCTCCGTGCTGGGGCTGCTTGGGGACAACCCCACATTTGGTCTAGTAACGGGGCATCAAGTGTGTCTGCCTTGGGCCAATTCCCCTTGAACTTCAGCTGGTCCCTTATTCACCTCCAGAAACTCAAGGACTTAGAAGAATTTCTTGTTCTACTATCACCCCATGGGGTGTAGAAGTAGGTGGCACAGAGCAGAGGCTTTGGGACAGCTCTTTGGGGGGTCTGCTTGGAGTTTTTTCTGTTGGGAGGTTTACCCAGACCCACTGGTGCTGGTACCTTGTCATCTCAGTGCTGATACCCTGCTGTCCCTTGCAGTGCTTTGAGCCAGAAGCACAGCGCTCTGGAGGGTTGGCTGCTGCATGGCTGTGTCTTGAGTTTCTCCAGCAAGCTCTGCTTCCCTCAGCAAATCCTGGATTTCCTTTTCTGTCTGCATTTCCCCACCTTGGGCAGTTGGCAGAGGGTTTGGTCTGACCATGATCTGTGGGCAGCCAAAGGATTGACCCCCAGTGCAGGAACAGTGAGTGCAAATGGAGATGAGCACCCATCAGCAGCCAAAACCAGAGGGGTCACTCCTGAGTCCTCCCTGGGTGCAGGACCTTGTAGTCCTTGGCCAAACCTTGCCCATGGCAGCGCCAGCACATCTGTACTGCATTGGGTGAGGAGCGATGCCCTAGGTGGATATTGGGGTTTGTTCATTGTCCAGTGGCCTTGGGACCCTTCGGTGCATGTGGCATGTGAAGGCAGTGGTCATCCATGGGGATGTGGCAGTCTTGGGGAGACAGCGATGGTGTTCAGGAGCTCTTGGGGGTTTTTCAGGTTGTGCAGGTGGCTGGGAGCAGCATGGATGGAAGCTCTGCACCCACCGGGCTGGATTCAGGAGGACGAATTGGACCAGCTGAGCATTAGCTTTGCATTTCTTTCCAGGAGCATTGGAGGCTGTAAAGTACAACTGATGAATAGGAAACGTGGTCTGAAAGTTACAGTCCCCAGCGGGTCCATATTGGGTTTCTGTCAGGGAGTTTCAGGATGGTTGGACCTTTATGTCCTGGATTTGGAGAGCGCAGCTCCTGAGGGGTATGTTTTAGGCAGGCTGAGTGCAGCAGTGAATGCTACAGGAGCTGTTTGCAGCAGGGAAATGTTGTTTCCGGGGTGTGGGGAACATCCAGTGCTGCTTACTTGGTGTCAGGCAGAGAAGTTTGAGGACAAGCTGTCTTGTTGCAGGAATATGTGCGGAACAAATGGCATTTTGGGGTACGAGTGGACTGCTGGGGCATAAGGGTTTCTAGTCTGGTCCCAAATCACTAATTTATCTTTTTATTTTTACCATTTTCTACTTTGTTTTGCTTGCTGGGCTGTCGATGAAAATGCACAGAGCTCCCTGCAGAAGAAGGTAAGTTATGGGCTAAAGGTGAAGGTGGGTACATGCTTTGAGTCTGGGTGGAAGGACAAAGAGGAGGGAGTCTCTGGGGTCTTTTGATGTTGGTTTTAATCCCAGAGAAAGCTGGGCTGACAGTAGTAGCTTTCCTGTGATGACAAAGCTGCCAGCTGTGCATAGAAACACAGAGGATTTGGTTTCTGTAGCTAAAACCAGATACGGTAAAACCAGGGCAATGCCAGAAATGAAGGTGTTTAACATTAGAGAGAAAAATCCCCCACTGCAGCACTCAACATCCTTACTAGGGCCCGGGGCCAGTGAGCACTGAAGAAGCTCTGTTGTGACCAAGGGACGGGCTCCTGTTGGTCTGAGTGGCCTCAGTGGTATAAACCCCTGTGGCCTTGGGTTTTTTTGAGCACTGACTCTGCTTGGCTTCGTGTTTTCCCACCAGGAAAGTCCCTCTGGGAGTTGGTGCTGGAGCAGTTTGAAGATCTCCTCGTCCGCATCCTTTTGATGGCAGCTTTTCTGTCCTTCGTAAGTACCCTGGGCCTGGGGTGGGCACCTTCCAAGGCACGTATGGACCCAGGTGGCAGCCAAAGAGCAAGGGAGCCAGAGGAAGGTCCATGTTGGATGAAGGAGATGTAGCAGCAGTGCTGTAGGATGTTTCAATGTTGGTGCTTGTTTCAATCACATTGTGGTCCTTCTCTTGCCCTCCAGATCCTGGCCTGGTTTGAAGAAGGAGAAGAGACCACGACAGCATTTGTAGAGCCTGTTGTCATTATTATGATCCTGATCGCCAACGCCGTGGTGGGTGTGTGGCAGGTAAGTTGCAGCTCCCTCCACCTGCCCTGCAGGTCTCTGCTTCACATGGCTGAGACACTTGATTTGAAGGTTTGATTGCTTCTTGCCATTAGAAACTCATTTCTCAAAGGTTCAATTTGCCAGTGATTCTCCTCTTCTTCTATATATTCAACTCAAGGGCATTTATTTATCTGCAGCTTGATCTGAGGTGGGGTTGCTGGATGGGGCAGAATATATCTGGGTGGGATATGCTGCTTCTCAAACCAAGAATGGCCCAAACCAGGTCTCAGTGCCCGAGAGCTGGTGTAATTTAGGCCAGTGGGGACCATTTCAGAGCAGCTGAAGAAGGCATGGCACTTGCCCCATCCACGGTGCAAATGGGTACCAAAGCTAGGGCCATGGTTTGGGTGCTCCTGTCTTTGCAGCAGGTAGGGAAGGAGCCTGGTGGCACAAGCAACCCCACCACTGGCAACTCTGCTCCTCCTCCACTTGCAGGAGAGAAACGCCGAGAGTGCCATCGAAGCCTTGAAAGAGTATGAGCCTGAGATGGGGAAGGTGATCCGTGCTGACCGCAGCGGGGTACAGCGGATCCGCGCCCGGGACATTGTCCCTGGGGACATCGTGGAGGTGGCAGGTGGGGTTCCATCACCCCAGGGCACAGGGTGGGATGGGGAGGCAGTGCTGGACAGGGCGGGTTGGTGATGGACACCCCGTGGTCTGTGCGGCGGTGTCATAGTGTCCACGTGCATCTCCTCTGGAGGCATGGCCACCGAGGCATGTACCTTGTTGGTGTACACTTGAGATCTTAGTTTCTCTTTTCAAATGCAGAGAGGTGAAATGATCTGGGACGAAGCTGGGGCTCATCAGCCTGCTGAGGCTTCACCCTGAGCATGAGGCAGTAGAGAACAGCAGGAAAGGAAAAAAGAAGTGTGTATTTCTGGCAGAGGTTTTGCATCTCGGGGCGGGGGGGGGGGGGGGGGGGGGTTCCCCATGTTCTGGAAGAACTGGAAGAACATTCAGTGTTCCGCCAAGATTCCCTTTCTCTGGAAGCAGCTCTCCCACGTGCATCCCCCGGACAGGGCTGGTGCTGGGTGCTGCACAGTGGTGCCAGGCGAGCGCTGCCACCAGCATGGAGGGGTTTCAGTGCTGCAGGCAGCAGCAGCACTGGTCCTGCCTGTGTGGGCAGGATTCCTTGGGAATGGGAATTTGTCATTTGGGAAGGGCGAGATGCAGAGGGGACCGGCTGCAGGGTGCTTTTTACTTACCTATTCCCTTCTGATGGGGTTTTGGATTCAACAAATGATGCCTGGGGGTCTCCTGCCTCCCCTGTGAGACCTAGCAAAGATGCCTTTTGCTTATCTCATTTTGTTTGTTCATTAAATGATGCTGTAAACCCCCAGAGCTGCAAAACTAATCCTCTCCTTTCCTCCTTGTGGCCTTGCTAGTGGAAACATGCTGCAATCCCTCCTGCACCCAGCCAGCTCGCTGTTATTTATGTCTTCCATTTGGGTTTCAGCTGGAAGATGAACATAAGAATAATGCAGGGAGGATGAAGTAGAGGAGCATGGGCCAGAGCCTCAGCTGGGCGAGCTGGCGGTGCTCCCAAGGAGCTCTGGAAATACACTCCAGCTGTTGACCTGGCCTTTAATTAAATTAATTAATTAATAATTGATTAAATTCTGCCATCTTCCCCCAAATTGAGTGCTTGCTGCCTGCCCGCTAGCAGCCCTGTACTGCTTTTTGATGGCACAGCCAGCATCACGACTGGGAGGGAAAGGGCTGAGCTCTCTGGAGGGGTTTGCGAATGATTAGCAGGTTAAGTGGGTTTAGGAGGTTAATAGCGAGTGGTGAGGGTGCAGTCAGGCTGCCTGACAGGAAAGTGCACCAGGAGCAATAGCTCTGAACGTGCGCTGGATATCTGGGTGACATCCTGGGGACTGCAGGGACAGTGCTGTCAGGAGGGACTGGCTTCTGCTTGTGCAAAGGCAATAAACTGGGCAGCAGGGAGCAGAAAACCTGCTGCACGAAGACAAGAGGGGGATGATAGAGCCTTGGGCGACATGGGCTAGGGTGAGGCGTCCGTGCCCATGGCAGGGGGTTGGAACTAGGTGATCATAAGGTCCATTATCCATTCTGTGATTCTGTGATGGTTGCAAGTTGGCGAGCTGTTTAAGCCCAGGACCCAGCTGATTTTTGCCCTTTTGTAACAAGGCAGTCGAGGTGAGCCCTTGTGCAGGCATCTATGTATGGATTAAACTCAGTGGCAGCGCCAGCTTTTTGCCTTACCCAAAAAGAGCAGGCAGGGCATTGCTGAGGGAGCTCCATCAGGTGCTCCTACTTGCTCTTGCTTTCCTCCAGCAGTGTCTGGTTCCTCTTTTTCCCTTGGCTTTTGGCATGGGGGAGACTTGCCGTGCTTGGGTGATGTGTTCAATAGCTGGCTAATGGCAGCCTCCAGGTCTGTACGGGAAGTCTGTCCTGTGCTATGCAAGCCTCCTGGGACGCTGTCACACTATCCACCCTGGGGCTCAATGTTGCAAATCTCTCCTCTGTCAGTTTAAAGCCATCCACCCTTGTCCTGTCACTATATTCCTTTGTAAAATGTCCCTCTCCAGATTTCTGGCATGTATTGAACCCCACAAAGGACCAGCCTCCCTCCTTATCTGCCCATGAGGCGTGTTCGAAAGTAGGAGACAGGAGACCTGGCTTTGCCACCCCACTGCCAAGCTCCCTGAGTAGTGGAGCTCTTTGCTCCCATTAAGATGCTCCAAAGTCTGAGTGCATGAAGTGAACATTTTGGGAGATCTGTGGGTCCCTGTGCTTAGTTCCCCCCCGCCAAAACTGGGTGCGATGGGGAACAGGGCAGGTCTGTCCTGACAGCAGATGTTTCACGCTGCATCCCAGAGCACTGGGATGTGCAGCTGGGATAGATGGCTGGTGATGGAGCAATGCCAGCCCCATCCTGCTGTGCTTAGGGGTGGTTTTACGAGCCCTGGGAGGAAGCGCTCGTTAAAGTCTGGGATCTGAGATGCTCCTTAGCAGCCAAGCCGGCAGTGTTGTGTAAGGGATGTGAGTGCTCTGAGCCAGGGCTTGCTCTGCATCAGTGTTTCCGAAGCGCCGGAGCGTGGTTGTGTCCAGCCGATAAGGGAGCAGGAGGAAAAAACCCAGTGGGAAAAGCAGCTTTAAATGGGTTTTTTAAGGAAGCACGGGCGTCTCAGAGGGTGATGATTGGTGGTTGTCAGTTGATGGGGCTGCTTTCACTCATAACCACCCTGCGAGACCCATGGACATCTGTTTGTCTCAGCCAGGAAAGGTTGTCCAGTGTCAACATCTTCTAGTCAGCCCATGGAGCCCTGAAACAGGGTTAAGAGTGATGTTGGGAGGCTCAGGCTGCTCTAAAACTGGGATGTTTGGGGTTTTTTTGCAGGGAAGAGGGAAGATGGGGGGTTGCTCTAGTGGCTTTGCAGAGGAGAGGAGAGACTGGGATGTGGTGGGGCAGGCAGTGCAGGGCCGGGGGCAGGGCCATGCTTGGTTTGGCTGCCCCGTGCGGAGCTCCTGCCTTTGCTACTTGTCCTGGCAAACCTGGCTCAAACCACAGCGAGTTTTGCTCAGGTGGCAGCTGGGGAAGGTGATGGGCAGGGCTGGGGGCACCTGATGGAGCTGCTTTTCTCTTGTCCTTGTAGTTGGTGACAAGGTGCCGGCGGACATCCGGATAATCGAAATCCGGTCCACCACCCTGCGGGTTGACCAGTCCATCCTCACAGGTACGTGCACATTTGATGGAGCAAAGGCGGCTGCTGAAGGCAGAGCTTTCCCTCTGGAGCCAGATTTGGGGACTGATCCTAGGCTAAGTGCCTTGCTGGGGTGGGAAATGGGTGGGAGAACAAAATGGGGAGGTCCCAGCATCATCTAAAACCCATGGCATAGGCGAGATGAGCTGGTGCTTGGGGCATCCCTCCTGCAACGCACAAAGCATGGAGCTTTCCTGTGTGACACGTGGGAGGAGGTGCTCGCTCCCTGCCCGTGGTCCCCCCATGCAGCCGTTGCATGATGACCACTGGTACATGAGGCCTCATGGCTTCATGGAGAGGTGATGATATTTGGGGCTGTTTTTTTTAAGCAAAAAAAGCTTCTGGAAAAGCCTGTGAAGCTGATAATCTGTGATGTTTCAGGAATACTCTCTCTGCTGTGAAGGAAGGCTGGGAGATTTGAACTAGATGATCTTTAAGGTCCTTTCCAACTCAAACCATTCTGTGATTTGACGAATGATTAGATAACCAAAAGGGTTTCCAGTATTTCAGCCCTTTTGCATGATTTTGTAAATGCATCAAGTAGGAAGATGACAGCAGGGAAGGAAAAGAAATCAGAAAAACTTTAAAAATATGAGGAAAGGAGTCTAGTCTCCTCAAAACATGGCTTTGCATTAACTTAGTTCTCCAGGGGCAAAAGGAGGTGCCGTAAAACGGAAAATCTGCAAAGGACAAAATAAAAACCTTCAATAGAATTGGCTTGCAAAGAATCATGGAATGGTTTGGGTTGGAAGGGACCTTAAAGTTCATCCAGTTCCAACCCCCTGCCAGGGGCAGGGACACCTTCCACTAGAGCAGGTTGCTCCAAGTGCCGTCCAACCTGGCTTTGGCCCAGCACCTTTCCCGTTGTGCTGCCCTACAATCCCCATCTGACCTGCAGGCTCCCTGGCACAGGGCTTTGGCCACATCCCATTGGGCTGTGTAGGAGCTTATGTCTCCTAGCACTGCACAAAGGCTGTTTCTCTGCAGCCCTCATCTTCAGGGCGCCTTGGCCCAGCTCTGACATCCCCGTGATGAATGGTTTGATGGCCAAATGCTGCTTTAGAAAGGCTCAGAGCAGCATTGAGCAGAGGCTGGAGAGGAAACATGGGTGGTTCATCTCCCCTTTCTTGTCTTGGCAGGGGAGTCTGTGTCAGTGATCAAACATGCTGATCCCATCCCCGACCCCCGGGCTGTCAACCAGGACAAGAAGAACATGCTTTTCTCCGTAAGTCCTTTATGTCTGTCCCCACCTCTCCTGTGGCTTTCCTAAGAGCCACCAAGTGAAGAGGGTGATGGACACAGGAGATCTCTGAGCAGTGAAAGGGAGTGCATGCATGAGAAAGACCCAAATTCGTAAAAGCAGCCCCAAATACATAAAAATAAGGACCTGCTTCATTTGGGCTATGACACCCTTAAATGCCTTGGGCAACCTCTGTGAGTTTTCCATCAGGTAGGATGCATTATAGGTGGGGAAAAGGTTTGTGGTTGAGCCTGGAGCTATTGCATTTGGGTTTCCTCCTTTCAGAGGTCAAGTCCTCAAGGGGTGAGAGACCTCTCAGGAGGGATGTGCAGCTGCTTCAGGGTGGGTTTATATAAAGCCCCAGAATGTCTCATTTTCCCCTTAACCAAGATCTCATGTTCTCCTTTCACAACAAGCACCCATTTCCCTGCTCAGGCTGAAAGGTTTCCTGCCCACATACCTACTCTGTCCCCTTTCTTCCCTCCCAGGGCACCAACATCGCCGCTGGGAAGGCTGTAGGGGTCGTCATTGCAACAGGAGTGTACACCGAGATCGGGAAGATCCGAAACCAGATGGTGGAGACCGAGCCTGAGAAGACCCCCTTGCAGCAGAAGCTGGATGAGTTCAGCCAGCAGCTCTCCAAAGTGATCTTCCTGGTGTGCATCGCTGTCTGGGTCATCAACGTCAGCCACTTCAGCGACCCGGTCCACGGTGGCTCCTGGTTTCGGGGGGCCATCTACTACTTCAAGATCTCGGTGGCGCTGGCGGTGGCTGCCATCCCCGAGGGCCTTCCGGCTGTCATCACCACCTGCCTGGCGCTGGGCACGCGGCGCATGGCCAAGAAGAATGCCATTGTCCGGAGCCTGCCCTCGGTGGAGACCCTGGGCTGCACGTCCGTCATCTGCTCCGACAAGACCGGCACCCTCACCACCAACCAGATGTCCGTCTGCCGGGTGAGTGCTGGCTCCTCAGGGGGTTGAGGTGCAGGGGGGATGCTCTGTAAGCCCCCGAGCACTCTGCATTGCTCCGTCCCCATCCTGGGGTGATGGGCTTTGTTGTCCTCACCAGACTTGTTTCATATCAGGACTTTGAAGGTGAGAATGGAAGATGGTTTATAGGAAGCCCTGAGCTTCCTCTCTGCTGGAGCAGGGTCAGTAAGGCTGATGGCTTCTCTTGGCATGGCTGTAATTAGAAACCTCATTTTTATGCGCACACCAGGTTGGAGGTGCCGTGTTGCAAATTTAATTCAGGGCTGCCTCTCAGAAAGCATTTCTTCCTGCTCGGATGTGGAGTTGAGACAGAGCTCCTGGCGATGCCACTACAATTGGCCTCCTCTGCTCTCTTGCCCATTTTCCCCGTTTTTGACCAAACCAGAGGGAAATTGCAAAGCCTGGACCCGTGAGATCAAAATTTGAGTGTCACTGCAACGTGTGAGTCTGTGACAAAGCTTGTGTAGAAATCCATGGGTTAAGAGAAGGTGCCCATAACCTGGTGAAAAGGTGCTTTAGTTACCTGTCCTCTCCTGGTGGAAGGTCTGCCATCAGCAGATGTGTGCACCTGGGCTCGGACTGAAAAGCTCTTCTGAGAGAGGGAGCACTGGGGTGATTTGGCAGAGATTGAAGGCTCCTGGTCTAGCAGAGTGCTTTGCTCCTGCCTGCCTGGCTGCATGAAGAGGTGACTTGTTAGGAAAGCCTGGACCATCCGAGTACTTCTCAGTTTCCCCATTAATGCTCAAGTCTCAGGAAAGCTTTTCTTCATGGCCTTGGCATGTCAGTTTTATAGGAGAACCTTGGAAAATGTGTTGCTGTGGGGAAAAATGGACCTGGCCACCATTCCTCCTCTCTGACACTTTGGTAGCGTGGTGGGAAGCGGTGATTGTGCTGCAAGCTGGCCATGGGCTTTGGCCACTGGTTTGCTCAGCACAAAATACAGACGACTGGAAACATCTGATATTCCTGTCCTGTGAATGATTTAAAATGAGACACTGCTGGAACGAGGCAGTGGCCAAGTTGCCCGTGTCTTCCCACCAGCCTGTTTTCTGACCCAGTGGTACAGGGAAGCAAGTAAAGGGTGACCCCAGCATTTGGCCTCTCTTTAGCTCTGCAGACTGCAGAAAGAGAGGTAGGAGTGACCATGCCTTCCCCAAAACACTTCCTACTGGAGGATCTGCTCCTTGAACTCGGGAAGCAATTGCCACCATCTCTTCCAGCGTGGCACGACTGGGAGAGGCAAGATCAGGAATGCTGAGACAGGGAGAAGGCAGGAGGGGGATGGAGTGGGGCAGTGGCATGCATGAGGGGCTTTAACATCAATCATCATTTGCAGAATGAAGTTCAATTCAAAATTCAGTGTATCATCCACCCCATCTCCCCACAGCCCCATTCCAATATCCATGTTATTCACTTGGCTGATTCCTGACTACCAGGGCGCAATAGCAAGAGCTGGGCTGGCCCCAGGACACACGGACATGCCTGTTAATGTTTAACAGAGAGGGATTCCCATGTTGATGCCAGCAGCACAGGGGCTGCTGGTGGCTCTGCTGAGCAATGGGTGGGTAAATATTTGTGCTGTGCTGCTGTTGTGTCCTGGATGTGCTCCTGCACCAGTGGCTGCTCAGCCACGGGGGGGGGAAGCCACAAAAGCCTATTGGTAAACTGGGAAAATACATTAATTGAGTGTGATTTAATTAACTCACATGTTAAATTTGACTGAGTGCAGCTGCTCAGCCAGGGTATAGTGCCAAGCAGTGCTTGCCCTCTGCATCTCACTGCTGGCATCAGGTCTGTAGAGCTGTAAAGTGACTCTTAAAAGGCTTTAGGTCTGTTTTAAAACCCTCAGCTCTGTTGCTGGCTCTGGGTCCCGCTTGGTGTCTGGGTTTCATAGCTGGGATGCAGCAGAGCCAGCTCAGCAGGGTGCATATGGATGCACCATATCCTGTGGTCAGCAGGGGTGAAGCCGTGCCTCCCAAATGCCCATGGGCATTAAGTGCCCACTGAAGTGCCTTATGTCAGGGCCTTATCCATCTGGGATGCCCAAAACCTTGGTGCTTCTGCTCTGATTTCAAGACCACCAATGGTTACAGGTCTGCAATAGCGCAATAAAGCCAAAACCCCATTTATTAAATCAGGTTGAACCTATGGTTTGTGTCACTCACAGTCAGCTGGGGTCTCCGAGACCACCATCTCACCCAGCCATGGTGTGGAGCAACCAGGAACACCCTTCTCCCACCTATTAAATAACCATGTGGTTGGGAGTGATGGGAGCCTGGCAGGGGAAGAAGGGGCAGAGGAGCATTGCAGCTTTGCTCTTGCACATTTAAATCACTCTCCTAAAACTTTCAGCACCTCTTATTCATCGTAACTTAATTTTCCAGGAGCTTGAGGGTGGTGTTTGAAAGTCAGGACCTGAAGCAGAGGTATGAGTGTGGCTGTGGGGGTTTGGGGCTGCTGCTGTGTAGGGCAGAGCAGGACAGGGATGGAGGGGGAATATATTGGAGCCTCATGTCTGGGAGGGGGAGGTGATGTTTGGATGCCTCTGAGATGGCGTTTTGGGGGACAAGAGCAGAAAGGGGTTTATTCTCAAGAAACTTTGTACCAGAGCCTGGATGTGCAAACTCCTGTTCCCGCTGCAGCCAGTCGGGAGCTGGGTGGGCACTATTTGCTTTCAGATCTCTAGGACACTGCCTTGATTCAGCAGTTCTGTCTGTCTAACCCAGTCCTAATTAATGGGAGACCCTGCTGGGGGTTTCCCAGGGGCTCTGGCAGTTGCTGGTGGGTGCCGGGGCTGCTTCCAGCACAGGAGGAAGATGATGCTGATCCGTGGGCTGATTGATGGGAAAATGACTGCTGATTGCAGCCTCTTGCTTTTCCAGACAGCAATCCTCTCTTGTCTGCCTTTTGATGAGTAGTTCTTTTGAAGGTACTGCGGAAAAGTGGAGACATATCCTTCGCATCTCCTTCTCTGCAAGCCTGCAGACAGTGCATCCATGGGTGCCCTTTGCTATCTAAAACCACACCCAGCAGTATCTGGCTGTGTGGTACAGCACCAGGGCCCCGCGAGAGCTGTCAGGTGTGATGGTTGAAACCCTTCTGGAGCAGGGTGTGCTCTTCATAAGCACGTCGTAACGTTTTCCTTCCCATCTCTCTGTTGTGTTAACCCCCCAAATCACCAGTGTGGCTTTAAAAGGGTTATAAGGGTGAGCAGAGGGAAGCCCTGGGTGGTGCTGGCTGGATGCTGGAACTGGTGTTCACCATGGCAATGCAAGAGATCTCTGAGCATCCCTCATCAGCCTCCCCAAACCAAGCTGCAGCGTGCAGCTTTGCCTCCTCCTTCTATTGCTTCTGTTACTATTTATATTATTTCTGTGATGGAAACCTTACCTACCCTTTTAATGGATTAAGACACAGCTATTTCCTCTGGACTGCTTCCCCTGCCAGCAAACCTGACCCCTTTTCAGTGCTGAAACACCACTCAAACCCCTGCCAACAGCTCTGCAGTGCCCCGGCTGCCCCGTCCCCTGCCAGTCACGCAAGCTGGGAGCAGGCAGGAAATGTGCTGTAACCTCTGGTTGCTGTGGGTTACACAGCACCTCTTTTAAACAGGCATGGAAAAATAAAGGGCCTGGAATGACTTTTATTTTTTTTCCTTTTCCTTTTTTTTTTTTAAGTAAGAAAGCTGCTATTGTAAAAGTAGGAATTGTTTTGTAGCCATGAGCAGTTGGAAACAAACAGGCCCCTATCAAGCAAAACCACCGGTGTCTGGGGTGGATGCTTCCAGGTTTTCTAGCAAGTGAGCCTGGGTGGCATTTCTGAGCACAGGAGTCCATTTTCTGAACAAACCAGGAGGTTCTGGCTCTCTGGAATGCCTGTGGCATTGGATGTCTCAAAAGGAGATGAAGGATGCTCAGCCTTTGAAGATCCCTTTTGGTGTTGACTCAAATTAGGTGCCACACTTCACCTTGGTTTCTGGAGTTGTCATCTCGGGAAGATTCAGTTGCCAAAGGAGATGGGATGTGTTTTGGCTGTCTTTATTGAGGTGCTTCATGCGTTAGTGTTTGCACCTTCTGCCAGAGGAGCTCAGTGCCTCAACAGAGGACCTGGGACACCTCTTCTGCAACCCTTTAGCTCTTGATTGTCTTTGAAACCCTTCAGGAATGCTGAGGGGTCTCCAGGATGGGCTCTGGGAAAGGAGCTAAGGGCAATAGCCTAGCAAACAGGCTATCTGCAAGTATCTGTGCAGCTGTGGGCCATGGGGAGGTTGCTTTGGGCTCAGAAGTATTCCCACAGGAGGTGTTTGCTTTGGACCTCCTGCTTGGATTTGCCCAAACCTGTAAAACATGGAGGTGAGAAAACCCACCGAGGTGTCCTGGTGCTAAACCTGCTGTAAACATTCTTCACTAAGCTTCACCTTTTTGGCTTGGCTCTAAGCTTGCATTTGGGGATACTGGCCTGCGTGGGGATGTCTCTGTGGTGGGCTGTCCTTTTGTAATTGGCAGTAATTAATAATAACAGTCAATTAACCTGTGCTAAAGAAGTGGCTGGTACCCAGAGCTGTTGTATCTCTGGTGCTGAGCGATGCTTCCCACTTTCTCCAGCATCTGTTGCTTCCCTCTCCTGGGGAACATCTTGAACAACCAGAGGAAAATAAGGCTCCCTCCTGGCTGTTCCCGACAGGCAATTACAGCCGGGAAAATGCATTCATCACACCAATTTTATTTATTTATTATGTTTCTTTTTGGCCTCAACCTGGGTCATAAATAACGATTAAGCAGAAACAAGCGTCGCCAAAGTGTCGCCTTGCCTGGGGTCAGGCGCCACTCTTGCTTCAGCTGGAGGCTGCCCCAAAGGGTAGGCTGTGCTAGGAGAGGGCAGCAGGGGACTGGGAAAGCTTGGGGAGAGGGGGATTTGTATTGTGGTTTAGGTTTTGGGGGTTTGTTGCTTTCACTATAGCAGCAAGAGAGAAACTGGAAGGAAATTTGAAAGGGGAAACTCACTAAAAATGAAGCATGTGGGACTTGTACTGCTCCCAGGGGCTTTATTACTGAGCTGCCACACTGCCAATGCCCAGAGGTGAGCTGAGAGCCCAGGAACATACAAGGCAAGCTGGTGGCCAAGAGCTGGGAAGGGGTGGCAGCTGCTCAGATCCTGCCCCGCAGAGGCTTTCCAGGACAGCCAGGGCAGAAGTGGAAAGCTGGACCTGGCTCCTTCTCTGCTCCAAGAAAAACACAGGCACCTTCTTAGGAACTGGCTCAGCATCGCTCCTCTCCAATGGAAAAAAAGAGCTGGAAGAGGCGAACATGTAAAAGGCAGGAGAGAGGTGGAAGCATTTGGGGACTGCCAGGAGCTGGGGATGACGAGAGAGGGGGCTGAGCCCAGTCCAGTGCTGGGATGGTACCGCCTGGCGGGTGTCTATGCTAGGCACATGGGTTGTACCAACAAATCACTGCCTAATGCTGTGTCTCCACCTTTCCCCCTTGCAGATGTTCATTATGGAGAAGGTGGAGGGCACCCAGTGCAGCCTGCATGAGTTCAGCATCACCGGCTCCACCTATGCCCCCGAGGGACAGATGTGAGTGTGGGTCCCCTCTGCTTCACAGGGTGATACAGGGTGGCCCTGGGCCAGCAGAGGAGTCAAGCTTGTGCCTATGGCTGGGGAGCCCCAGGCTTGCAATTGCTGGGTGATTGCCCTTTGCTTTCAGTGAAAGCCAAGGCAACTGCTTCCCATCCTTCATTGTTAGTCCCTGCCTAACACAGTGTGGAGGGCATGCACCCCATCTCTGCCTGCTGCCCCACCACTGCTCAGCAAAGGGGCTCCCACATGCTTGTCTCTCCTTCGTTAGCAGTCCTGATACAACAAGCCTGATTCTGAAATGGGGAAGATGGCAAGTGTGGGAATAGCGATGAATCAGGCTTTTCACAGTACGTGCTCATTCTCCAAGTTTCTGAAGCCTGCATGTTGTCAGTATTGGCTGGCAAGTGTTGCCCCTGCTTCAAGTAGGACCCAGGGCCAGGAGCTTGTCTGGGAGCCAGTGATGTGTGGAGGGACTCGCAAGCAGCTGCAAACCCCAGCAGAAAAAGCATTCCCCAAGCCCCATGTGCTCAGCAGGGACGGCCGAGATGGCTGCTGTGCCCAGGCACCATCCTATTGATGTCAGGTTGAGTTTTTGAGGGAGATGTGGGCTTTTCCCTGGTGTGTTATTACACATGTGAAGTTTTCTGCCATTGAGTTTGTTTATTCCCTGTCCTTTGAAAGAAGGTGATGCTCCCCAGTGTGGGGAAGGAGGAAGATGGGAAGCTCAGCCAGTGGTTGAAGCACTCTTTGCTCCCTTTTCTGTGTGATCCCAGACACATTCTTCACTACGGTCCCTTCTGCTCTGTGGAGCAAAGACCCAGCCTCAGACTTAATTTCATTAATATTAATAGAGCCAATTTGATCCTTGGCTCGGAATCTTCAATACAAAGTTAGGCAGGTCATGAGCTGCTATCAATCAGTGCGTTTCAGTTCAATGGGGAGGACTGAGGGGCTGAACGCCGAAGCTCAGTGTCCCTCTCCTCTGGGGTCTGCCTGCAGGGAGACTCCACGCTGTCTGCAACAATTCCTGTTACTTTTGAGTTTTACTTCAGCCCTGTGCTTGTACCATGCATTGAGGGCGAGGTGAGGGCTCACTTAGGTTGTAACAGAGAAAAGCCCCCATTCCCCTAGGGCTGGTGGGACTGAAATGGGTGTTTTGCTTTAGCCTGGCCTCAGCATGGCAGATGTTATGTGCCTGACCTTGGGTTTTATCGCATTCCTACACAGCCCCCAGCCAGCAGCACCTTTGCTGATGCTTTTCCCAGCTCCATGCAGGCACAGCCGATAATCAGGACATATTCCCCCGTCCCTTCCCAGCAATACTCAGGGGATCGCACACTGCAAAAGCCATCCTTGGAATTTCCACCTTCCCAAACATCACCACCTTGGCCAGAATATCTGCAGGCTCTTCCCTCCACCCTCTGCCTTCCCCATAGCCATGACCAGGGCTGGGCAGCATCCTCTGGGCAGGAGGCAGTGGCTCTCCCCTGCCCATTGTCAGCCCATTGCAGTTCTTGTCCCTCAGCAAACAGGGTTTTTAGATTTCCTTGGCTGCTCCCTGTTTTCCGCTCCTGAGCTGTTACAAGGGCTCCAAAATGTTCTTTCCATTGGGAACCAGCAGTGGAATAAACTGATCCTAATAAATGCCTGACAAATTATTTTTCCAGCAAGCAGATGACCTGGCTGGGTTTATGCAGCTCTAACCTGCAGTTACCTCTCCTGGAACTGGGATCATTTGTTATTTCCCCTGAAAACCACTGCTGCTGTTTCTGCCACCGAGCAAGGAGCAGCATCCAGCTTGTCTGGTGTGTTCAGGGCTGTTCCTTTCCAGTGGTGTTTGTGCTCCTTTACATAACAAAGAGCTGCTATTTAGGAAGCAAAGGCCACAGTCTGCCACTTGCTTGGAAGCAGCCACAGCAATGCAGCTGTTAAATTTGCCTGTTGCTCTTAAATGCTCCCTTGGGTGCCCTTGAGCTCACCATAGCACAAAGCAGCATCAGGGGGAGGAGAAGGGACTTGCTGCCGGTTCTACAGCTCATCTGGATCCCCAGCAACTGGAAATCCCCGGGGGAGTGGACATTAATTTTAATTCCTTTGCCCCTTTTCTGTCCATCGTCTTCATCATCAGCCTTTTGGCAGCCCCTGCTTTCAGGTCCAGTGCTCTTTTGGGCTCATCCACAGCCTCTTTTATTCTGGGACCACTTCCAGGAGTTTACTGGCCTCCTATGATACCTTGTTTGCAACTTAGTCCTGCCCTGTTTTCATAAAGCACAAAATGTGAACCCAAGTGTTTATTGCAGAGCCTGGGGCTTTAACTGTGCTCTTTCTCCAACTTATCACAAAATATTACAAGGGATATAAGAGAGGAGGCCACAGAGATGCTGCAAGGGCTGGAGCAGCTCTGCTCTGGAGCCAGGCTGAGAGAGCTGGGCTTGGGTCAGCCTGGATAAGAGAAGGCTCCTGAAGGGAGGAGACCTTAGAGCAGCTCCAGGGCCTAAAGGGGCTCCAGGAAACCTGGAGAGAGGCTTTGGACAAGGGATGTAGGGACAGGACAAGGGGAATGGCTTGAACCTGCCAGAGGGGAGATTGAGATGAGCTCTGAGGCAGAAGCTGGTCCCCGTGAGGATGCTGAGGCGCTGGCACAGGGTGCCCAGAGAAGCTGTGGCTGCCCCATCCCTGGCAGTGTTCAAGGCCAGGTTGGACACAGGGGCTTGGAGCAACCTGCTCTAGTGGAAGGTGTCCCTGCCCGTGGCAGAGGGTTGGAACTGGGTGAGCTTTCAGGTGCCTTCCAACACAAACCAGGCTGTGATTTATGCTGCTTTGACCATGTGAGCTGGTGTGAGGTTTGGGTGTTGTTTCCTCCCTGCAGCCTGAAGGACGAGCAGCCGGTGCAGTGCGGGCAGTACGACGGGCTGGTGGAGCTGGCCACCATCTGCGCCCTCTGCAACGACTCTTCCTTGGACTACAATGAGGTGCGGGGGCACCGGGGCAGTGGCGGGGGTGGGTGTCAGGGAATGGTTTTCCCTGAGCTTTGGCCCACTTCAGGGCAAAGCCAGTGGAAGTGCTTTGGGATTCCCATCCTTGGCTTCAACTCATCGCAGGGCAATGCTCTGGGAGCCCCGGGGTGGTGCAGTCGGTGGCAGCATCCTTGGTCGGTGCATCAGGTAGAAGACGTGCTCTAAAGCTTAAGTTTTGGGTTTGGGGTTTTTTTTATGCTTTCTAGTCAAAAAAAGTCTACGAGAAGGTGGGGGAAGCCACTGAAACAGCCCTGACGTGCCTGGTGGAGAAGATGAACGTCTTCAACACTGACATCAGCAAACTCTCCAAGGTGGAGCGAGCCAACGCCTGCAATTCGGTGAGTGGGGTGCAGCCCCAGTGAGCTCCAGTGCTGGGGGACGAGAGGGAGAGGAAGGCTTCAGGACGACTGATCTATGAACAGTAACCACTTGCAATAGTATAAGGGACTGACCTGCCGCAGGGTAAAATTCCCTGGCTCACAAGGGGTCAGAGCTGGTTTTGAAGCAGATACAGCAATGACCCTGGGAGGTGATGCCAGGGCTGGGGCGACTAACCTGGGTCCACATGGAGATTTGGACCAGTGAGTGCCAAGGCTCAGACCCAGTCTATCCCTGCCTAGCTGAGAGAGACCTCCTTGACAATGGGCAGAGCTCTGGATGCAGAGGTTTAGAGTTTTGTAGCTCCACAGCAAATCTTTAGGTGCCCAGTTTGCACTGAGCAGTTGTCCCCCACAGCATGAACCAAACCCCTGCCTGAACAAGGCTTGCTCTTTGGAAACACCTGTTTCTGGTGTGAAAATACCCTGTGCTGGCTTCTCCTGGGTTCAGCTTAAACCACGATACGGCTATTCCCTTACTCCAGCTCTCCAGTGTCTCCCTGTCCTCCTGGTGAAAACACACTTTATTTCATGTCTGGATTTACTCAGCTTTGGTATCGTGCAGTTAGATCTCATAACGTCTTCGCTTGCTCGAAGGAAGGGCTCCCTGTTTTGGCATTTCCTCCCCAGACAGGGCAGAGCAGGTCATAATAAATCCCCTGCCTCCTTTCTGATAAGGGAGATGGAATTTCCCAGCCATATATTAGTCCAGCAGCTGCTTGGTTACGTGTACCCATTACTGCACTGCCACTCAGGCTGGGGTCAGTCACTGGACCTTCTCTCCTTACTCTTGTTTTATGCGGGGACAAAACCCCCTTCCTTGGAGTTTCCTGCAGTATTTCTTCACTGCTTCTTGCTTGTGCTCTCAGTGGCTCTGTGATTTGAAATCTCCAATGGGATTTTGGGGTTTCCACAGCAGCTGCTCTCAGGTCCTTGCTGCTGTGCTGAGCGTGCAGTGCAGTGGGGACAGCACTGCTTTTATGGGCACAACACCCACTGTAGTCACTGCGCTCGTGCCTTGTGCTGGGTTTGGCCTTTGGGAGCTGCTTGGTGCTTGTCTGGAACATCCACAGACAGTGGACAAAGTCCCTTCACACACATCTCTCCACCTCCCTAGCTCCTACTCACAGCCTCACTGCAGTAGGAGCATCCTTCTAACTTTGAACTTGCAAGGTTTTACCCCAAAAGGAGAAGGGTTTTTTTTTTTCCCCTCACTGATGTATTTACATTTAAGTTGCTGTAAAAGTCCTATTCAGGGAGCTGGTTGTGTCCCTGTCACAGGCAAGACCTTCCTGGCAACAAAACATAATTGTTCAAGCAGTAAGGTTGGCGTCAACATCCCCACTGCCCTCTCTGGAAAATATTTTGGATTGGCCCCAGATGTCTTGTTCATTCAATGGCTTTTTTGGGACAAGACGTGTCTTTCCAGGAGGGGAGCTGTGATGCCACCATGGATGAGAGAAGGGGACTGGTTGAGGAGGACTGGCTCTGCTGTGCTGGGCATTTGGCTTCTGAGTAATTAACGAGTAGCCTGGTTTGTGGTGGGATGTTGGGGTGCAGGAGCTTGTTTGTGGGCACTGCCTGTGTCCATGGGTCCCTGTGCTGGGGCAGCCCCTGCTCTGCCCTCACCGTGCAAACCCTGTAGGTGCCGTGTGAGGGAAAGATTGTTACTGCTTAGCTGGCAATTAGCATGTCCTGAAATGAGCCTAATTAGACCTCAGCTGCTGTTAATGTGATGGGAACCAATCCAGCCTCAGCCGATGTTGATGTTCCCACTCCCACTAACCCCTGCGAGTGCAGGATCAGAGCAAACCCTTCAGCTGTAATGACTGGGATGCAATTCCCCTTCCTGCAGCACAGCTGGAGCCTAGGGCAGAGGGAATTCTCCTCCACTTCTTTGGCAAACAGAGCTTTATCTTAGGCTACAGCAGCTGTTTGACATCCAGTGTGGGGCTGGTAAAATAAAGGTCTGGCACATGCTGGTACGTGCTGTGGGCTGGGCAGCAGTGGAGGGGTTAAAATTCTCTCCCAGAACTGTACAAGGAAAGCTCCTTTTTGAACTATGTCTTCTGGCTCCTGTGGTTGCTTTTCATCTCCCATCACTGGTGCTGTTCCAGCTCAGCAGGGTTGTTAGATGAGGTGGAGAGCACTGCCTGCCGTGTCCCTGTCACATCCCAGCTCAGCCCCGTGCTGTCCCTGCAGGTGATCAAGCAGCTGATGAAGAAGGAATGCACCCTGGAGTTCTCCCGTGACCGCAAGTCCATGTCCGTGTACTGCACACCCACCGGCCCCGGCCACAACTCCACCGGCAGCAAGATGTTTGTCAAGGTAGGGGAGAGGACCTCAGCACCCTGCAGGATCCTCCTTCCCCATGCACACCCCAGCAGGATTTAGCCCTGACTGCAGTGGGCAGTGATGCTTTGCAGCTTGTCTCCTCCTTTAGCTGTCTGGGGGTCCAGGTGGGCTGGTGGGGCAGGGAGGGGGTGAGTCTTTGCAGTATTGGGAAGGGAAAAAAGGAAGTGAAGTGATTTAGAGGGAGGAAAAGGTGCTGAGTGGGCCAGGGGAGAGCTGCCCCTGTGCAAAACTTGCCTTTATTAAAGGCTTGGACCCTC